ATCGATTATAAATAATATTATAAAAATTGAAATAATAATAAAATAATTATATCGTAAAATTTTATACGATATTTTTATTACGGAATTGTTTGATGAATTTAAATTATACTGTTAAATATCAAATTTTGTTTGATAGTATGATCAAGAGCGTGTTACTTTGCTCTAACGATAAGCAATTCAACCACAGAAATGGTTTGATTTATATTTCGATTTATATTTTCACACATGAAAATTAAAAATAACAAAATGTTACTTAATTCAAGGAATTGAGTTATTATTGCTCCTTTAATTAATATCTAACAGTGCTACTTAATATCTAACAGTGCTTGATGAAGTAAATAATATTTTTAAGTATATTAAATTCTTCATCAAGTAATACATGTTAGACATCAATTAAAAAGCAATAACTCAATCCCTTGATAAAAGTATTTTATTATCTCCATTTGTATTTCAAAAGTAAATCAATTCTATTTTTGTGATTAGTTTTAAAGTAAACAATCATATGAACATACACACTTGTTGTTAATTTAATTAACAACAAGTGTGTATGTTCATATGATTAGGTACAATGGTGACTTATAGAATTAATTATAATAATAATAATTAAAGATAGTTCAAAAATTGAATATAATTTGACACTATGAATTTAACAGTGTAATGCAGAGACTAACAATGCAAAGTACATTTTAATGTAAATTACGAATAACTGCTTTTTTATAAATAAATTCAATTTTCCTCGAAAAGCTGACTTGGAAGAAACTGTTAACCGTTCTCGATCGCGCTCTACCATTAATACTTCGTTTTCTGACTGGCTCATGTGGCGACGGTCGCGAGTTAGGAACGTGCATGAATCGTAGTACTACACGTCGACTACTATGTCGCGTTATCATTTGGCAGGAGGAGAGAGGCAAACGAGGTAGCAGTGGCGAGGGCGGTGGTAGTGGCGGCGGCGGAGGCGGTAATTCCAATGCAGGAAGGGGGAACACCGGCACTCATGGCGCCGAGACGCCCTCTAATCTGGCCAGTATCACGCCGACCGCGCGAGAAGTAACACGTGCTGTGGTTGGGCGACAACGTTTCTTTCACAAGACGTGTGACATACGCAGCAATAACAATAACAACAATAATAATAACAACATTATCAAGGAAAACCTGTTACAAGAAACCAGAATTGACAGCGATTCCCGGTGTCACATCGAATCTTTAAAGGGTCATCATCATCATCATCATCATCATCATCATCACCATCATCATCAGCAACATTATCAGACTCGTGGAATAGATGGTAGCAACGTTGTTGCTAGCGGGATCGTTGGTAATGTCTTGCCAGACGTTGGTGGCGGTGGCTCGTACGGCGAGGTAACAACGTGCGACAAGTACAAGGGCACCGGGTCGGAGTCGAATCGGGGCGGTAACAGCGACGCAGTTCAAGGTCGCCCGAGCGAGAGATCCATGCTGAAAATTGAAAAGATATCAGGAAAGATCGCTCTGCACGGCGGCAGCGAGTCAGCGGTCGGCAAGTGCGGCGCGGAGAGAATGAAGTCAACCACGCAGGAGGTCGGTTACAACAAGCACGAGGCCAAGGCCAAGGGCCACGATGTCGGACACGGTTACAAAGTCGAAAATCTGCGTTACTACGGTGAACTGAAGGGCTACGCCGATTTCAAGGCTTACGGTACCGTGGACAAACAGCCGACATCCGTACCGGTGTCCGCGCACGAGAAGTCGCATCTTCTACATGGACCCATCTCGTGCGAGAAAGGCGACAAGTGTCACGGCAAGGCGCCGTCTTCATCCACGCAGAGTTATAGCCTGGCCAAGATCGGTCAGCAGCAGACGGAGAAGAGTCATCACAGCGGCGATCATTATTATCACAGATCGTCACATTCGAAGTCGCCGAACATGTATCAGGTGTATCAGGAGACCAAGTACTCATACAATGTGAGCGGGGTGCCCGGGACGCCGGCGCAGGCCAGCGCAGCCGCGGCCTTCTTCGCAAGGTCAGTGTTCACTCAATCTAATGAATATACGATAGCATGTGACATAATGTACCTGCTGACACGAGCGTCTCAGTTACTTTAGTTCTTCCTATCGCGAAATTCAACGTATGAGTTTTATGTTGTAAAAATAAGGAAAAATCACATTTAAGAAAAAAATCACATGAAGAGAATTATGTTCACGTTGAAATCTTTTTATTTAATTTTATATCGCTCTTCGATATTTCGAGAATTTTATCACGAAAGCTCAGAAGTGAATCACATCTCGCACGGAATGCAAGAGATCCGGATTCGACTCCTGGCCGAGGCAATATTTTTCGCAATAAGTTTATTACAGTTTTTTAAAGATTAAATTTGGAAAATTTGGGAAGATTACTAATATTTCAGATTGATTGCGTTGAAAGTCCGACAACCATATCGGCACGCAATTATCATTTCTGAAATTAATTCATTTAAATGAATATATATAATAGTTCAACATCTTAACATTCAGACCATAATGGCGCTTCGTATTTAAAAGTAATGAATCACATTAGCTACATATGTAATTTCGAAGCTTTAGTCTTTATGACTTTTGTATTCTGTTCTAAATTGTTTTAAGTATTCATTTAATTTTATATAATCTATTATATTTTTTCTTTTCTCTCAGAATGCTCTCCTTGAATGCTATCATTAAATGATATTGTTATGAATTTTACGTATAAAGAAATAGGTCACACTTATAATTAATGTAAAACAGTTCTTTATGTATTTCAGATTTTTAATGACAAAATATTTATAATTTAGATTATTATAAATACAAATAATTTAATAATTAATAATTAATAATTAATAATTAATAACTTAAAAGAAAAGAGAGAATGAACACATTACTAATTTAATCTTGATGTGGAGTATGTAATTTCTAATTTTATGTCTCCTTACACTTAAATAAATGTATATATTAACACAAAACTATTTAAAAATTAAAATCATTTAACTGTTTCACATTTTCTGTTATATTACTAACCCAGCAGGTCTTGAGAGAGATAACAGATAGAATTTTTAAAAACTTGTTAATATGATAGATTGGGCCTCCTAATGATAACTGAAAGCATAGCGTTCAATGTGACCTAGTTGTTCACAAAATTTACATATCGATAACATTTTAGGATTAATTTCGATGATTTCATTTACGAAAGTTTAAAAATAAATTATATTATATATAATTGTGAAATTTTAGCCTTCTTGATTTTTTATTTTTGTTTTGAGATTCTTATATCAAGCATTCATTTAATTTTAATCTATTATATTTTCTTGAAATTTCTCAAAATATTGACAAACATTATCTTCTAAATAAAAATAGGAAAATAATATTGCGTGAACATCTAGTGCAAATTTAAAAAACTTTTAGAACGCAAATCCTGAACATTTAGTTGAATATTCCTTTCTTGATCAAATTCTGCTTGTTTTTAAAGATTATCTTAGCATGTCTAACATAACGATTTATATCAATGGTTAATGGTTAATAAATACGAATGAAAAGATAGCAATTTTATACTGAAGCGGTTCGAACATGCGAAAGTTTATTGCAGTTATTATATGATTTTTGTTTGTTCGGAGAAATTTATATTCTCGTCGTATGTCGCGCACGAAGCGATCAATTTACGAGACTATAACCGCATGCACAGATCTCGTATTCCGTTAGCGTGTATCTATACGTTTAAAAAGTCGAGACATTTTTCATCGTTATCAGGTCTGCTTCTTGGAGCGTGAACGCTCCAATTGAAGCATTGCTCGCGATACGCTAGCAAAAGCATTATTTATTGCACGAATCGATAGCCTGTTTACTCGAGAAATCTGCAAGCTCTAAGCTAGCTCTAATCGAGAACATTCAAACCTAACATTAATTGACAAAAATTGCAACGCATACGCATCAGTAAACAACAGAGAAAAGTCTGAAACGTGTGCAAAAGCTTTCTTACAACTTGTATTTTCCTCGTGAAAACACCACATCAAACAAGCATCAAATAAGCATTCTATTATCCCTCACGTTGCCTCCTTATTCATTTTAAACATGTGTTTTAATGCAGATAATCATGAATTTGCGAGCGCAGCCGGCTATAGAATGACATTCATTTTCTCGTCTCTTCGTCCCTTGAGTAGGTGCGAAAGTACCTGACTCTTCGGACTTGTTGGTCTTATAAAACACATTTTCACCAAACCATCCCCATAGAACACGTGTACGGGGCCATCCTTCCTGGTTAGGCTCGAATCTCGAGCTTTGATCTCAGCTCGCATATTTTCAACGTCCCCGTATGAAAGCGTATACACAGCTTGCGTGCAGGAGCGTAGAGTACAAGCACGAGCAAGCGTAGATTGTATGTGATTCGTGTGCGAAAAGAAAGCTCTTTCTCTTTCTAAAGGCTTCGCGGTCACAGCCGTCTTTTCCCTTAACCTTAGACGCGACCTCAGCCCTTTAATAACCTTGCTCATAGCTTGTGGATATTGTAAAGCACAATGGCATTCTTGGGGAGGGTCGCCTGCTCGTGCATCCGTCTTCACCTTTCCTTCCCTCTTTCCCTTTCGTTCTCGTTCATAGTTCCTATGTGTATGCGTATAAAGTGCACAAGTACATGTGAGTTATTAGTGGCAGCTAATTACGAACTACTCTTAATAACGATGTGCGTCGAGAATCGGAAGTTTTCTGGACAAGGTAATAGGGGAGAGAACGCTCGAGGAAGGTCTCGTCGGTTAGCGCTGGACTTCGGAATGCCAGCAAATTATTCAAAGCGAATGGGACTGCTATTATCCGGATGCTCAGCTATCCATGCATATAATAAGCCCGGGCTTTCAGCGAGCGCAACTGTGGCGGCTTTAGGCTTATGCGAGTTTTAATAGCATTTCAAGCAGAGCGATGATGCTGGCTAATCATCGGGATATTCGACAGGGATGCAAGGTACGGTCAAATTAAACATGTGGTATATAGATTTGCTCTTTTATCTTGGCTTAACATCTCGCGCTCCCAATTATTCATATATCAAAAATGAACATTGCACTTACATTTTCCCCCTTTGATACAGCTCTCTTTCTAGTAATCAATTTTTGATATTTATTGACATACTTTTTATTTGTTATAAAAATATTTTCTGCTCTTTTACAATAATTGTTCACCATTGTTAAATAAGAAATTAAAAATATTAACCCATAACAGAAACACATATTTTTGTGTTGAAGAAACATATGGATTCTTGGGTCTCACTAAAATTTTTTATTATTAGTTTTATTTTCTTTAAGAATTTTTTTAAGTTTAATTAAGTATATTCTTAATTTATGGTATATGATTGTTTGATATGAAATACAAATAAAATGTTATTGATAGAATTTATTGCTTCTCATTAGATATAAGCACATTTTCAGTGTTATAAATACTCAGGATGTATTTTAATTCGAACATTTCCTAAACATTTGCACATACATTACATAACAGTTACATTATTAAATGTGAATATATTGATATTATATTACTTTTAGTTGATGTTTACTAGAACTTTTACTTTTCCATATCAGCGACGTCATAAATATTGTGGTTACGATGCGTAATGATGTACAGCGTGTGCCATTACAAGTCAGTTAGCCGACTCATCATTAACGTATAATAGGATATAGCAGGCGCTTGAATGATCGTGCTTCGTGTTCCAATGATATCAATGCGCTCGTGCCGAGACAGTGGCGCCTGTTCTGCGCATACTGTCTGTTTAGTACCTTCTTCCTTTTGCTCTTTAACGATTCCTTAGAACGGACAGCTACTGTTTCATAAGAAGTTGACAAGAATTGAAATTAATCGCATTCCATGTGTGCATCAATGATCGTTTTTATTTCCTTCTAATCAACAAAATTAATTATTTTTATTTATTAATATAATATAATTCATGCTATATTATTATTATTATTATTATTATTATTATTATTATTATTATTATTA